GGTGCTATGCTGACCAAGGGAGACGCTGACGCTGGCTCTCGGTCGATCACCATATATACCCATGCCCGTTCCCCTTTCTGTTTGGGACCCGTCTGTAAACCACACGAGCCCCTCAGGTTTGAGGAACGGGCAATCCGAGTTCAGCCACTGCTCCCTATCCGGGAGAATGACTTTATAACGCTTTGGTCTTAGCAAGATAGCCCGGATCACGTCCCTCCTTGCAAGGAGGGGATCGGTTCTGAGGGTTTCCTCCCAGATCCGCCCGTGCCCAAGGCTGCCTCGATCCTTCCATTCATCCCAATCGTTTAGCCGTATGGAAGCTTTCCGAGCCTCTGCCTCCACAGCTAAGTGTAAAGGCTCTAGTCCCAGAAGTGCCTCCATGGCCAAGGTTGGCGTGGTTTTTAGGGCTCCAGTGACTCCCAGACAGGCGAGTCGCTGGACCTTTCCTAGCTGCTTCCTGTAGGTTACCCTGCGCATGGCAGGCCACCATACAAGTGCACCATACAGTATTATTGGCCTTATCACTGCAGTGTAAAGCCAGTATACCAGTCGAGGATTCAAGCCCCATGTACAACCAAAAGCCCTTCTGCATGCCCATAGACATGCAGTGGCCTTTTTGCTTATGCGCTCAATGTGCCCTTTCCAGGTCAGGCGGGAGTCAATGATGACTCCCAGGTATTTCACTGACCTGGTCAGACCCAGTTGACGTCCTCGAAGAGCGAGCCCAGTAAGATCCGCTCTCCTTCTATTCGTGAATGAAACAACCTCGGTCTTTTCCGGGTTAACAGAAAGGCCATGGCTACTGCACCACCTATCCACCTGTTCAAGAGCCCCCTGCATGAGCTCTTTCACGGTGTTTGGAAACTTCCCAGTTATGACGATCGCGAGATCGTCCGCGTATCCCTGTGTATACGCTCCCCCCTCGTTCAAGGTGCGGAGGAGCCCGTCTAGTACCAGGCACCACAGCAGTGGAGACAATACCCCACCCTGCGGACATCCTCTAGTAACCGATGAGCTCATCTCCGTCATCCCAATTGAGGATATAATGATTCTGCTTTCGAGCATGGCTCGGATCCATCTTACGATCGACCCATCAATACCAAAGCTCTCAGCAGCCTCACTAATCGAATCGAACGTGGTGTTGTTAAACGCACCCTCGATATCTAAAAACGCTCCCAGAGCTATCCCCCGGAAGACATTCCCTTTTCCAGCCTGCACACCAGGCTGTGTAGAGCCGTCTCCGTGGACATACCAGCCCTGTAAGCATGTTGGAACGGATGTAGTGGTCTACTAACCAGTACGCCATTCCTTATGTATGCATCCACCAGCTTCTCCACCGTTTTTAGAAGAAACGATGATAGGCTGATGGGCCTATAGTCCTTCGCCACGTCATATTTAGCACGACCCGGCTTAGGTAGGTACACAACTCTTACCTTCCTCCAGCTTTCGGGGATATACCCTAAAGCCAGAGAGGCTCTGAAGAGATGCAACAAGTGTAAGAGCAGCGGATCCAGGCCCTTCTGTAGAAGAGCCGGGAATATCCCATCCGGTCCTGCACTCTTAAATGGGCTGAACGTGTTGACCGCCCATCTCAGAGATCCCTCGGTAACCACCCGGGAAGCTACCTTCCAGTTGATCGGCCTTACACCGACCCGAGTAGCTCCTTTTGGTGGGTCCGAAGTTAAGTAGTCCCCAGAGCCTGGAAAGTGTGTTTCCAGGAGACATGTGAGTGCCTCACCCGCGGTAGACGTATATCTGCCGCATGGAAGCCTCAGTGTCCCCACCTTTTGCCCCGGGTCCTTCAGAAGGATTTTACGAAGTTTTTGAACTTCAGGAAGACCTTCCATGTTACCACAGAAAGTCCTCCAAGATCCTCGTTTCGACCTCCGAATATGGTCCTTATACCTGCGCTGGGAGATCTTAAGATCTTCCCAGTCCGCAGGTAACTTAGTTCGCATGGCCCTATTAAAGAGCCTGCGAACCTCCTTACGAGCCTTTTCAAGGTCTGAGTTCCACCAAGGTGTTCTCTTCTTTCCTCGAAAGGTACGCAGTTTACAGCTGTCCTCATAGGACGCTGTTATGGCGTCACTTACTAATGCGGCCGCCTCTTCCACCTGCCCTGCTTTCCGACAGAGCAAAGGTGGTCTATCCAACCGGTCCGACAGTTTTGCCACATAGCAGTCCCAGTCAGTGGATCGGGGATTCCGAAACCTACAGGGCCCGCAGTGCAATGCCAGGTTCAGTTGGAAGAGAATGTGCCTGTGGTCCGAAAGCGACGGCTCATCAGACACTCTCCAATTCGTGATCATGTGAGCTATTGAAAAGGAGCCCAGCGTCAGATCAATGACCTCCTGCCTCCGCGCTGTGACGAAGGTAGGGGCTGCTCCCTGATTTAAAACATTCAAATCAGTTGTTTGCAAGTACTCCAGAAGGTGGTCGCCCCTCGAGTTCGTGTCCGTGCTGCCCCACACAACATGGTGTGCGTTTGCATCACAGCCAACTACAAGAGGGAGCCCACTACTTCGACAGTACTCTATCAACTCAGCCAGCTCCTTGGTTGGTGGAGCCCCTTCTGAGTCGTACGGGAGATAGGCGGAGCAGACCACCAAGTGCCTGCCCCGTCCTCTGTCATCTTTCAGCTGAAGTCGTAGAGCTACGAGATCCCTGAAACAAAAATCAGCCATTAGATAAGACTCGATTCGTCTATCGACATAAATGCAAGTCCTCGGGTTCAGTTGGCTGTCCCTCTTATAATAAAGAGAGTCCTCCACCTGGCCCAGACCTCTTACTCGTCCCTTGTAAACCCAAGGTTCTTGTATGAGGCATACGCCTGTCTGCTTTACAGCAAGTTGACGACCTATTAGACAGGTCGCCGCCTTACTGTGCTGCAAATTGCTCTGTAAGAAGGTTACTTTGTCCATCACTGATGTACTAGGTTCCCTCCTCCGTTAGCGATGCCGACGGTTTCGACCCCTGGTCGGAGCCAAGAACCGCCACACGAGCCAAAAGCTCGCTGACATCTTTCTCGATCTCTTCGGGCGCCGGGAGCAATCCCGTCGCCTCTTCGAGATCAACACTGCGAGGTTGAGCCCCCTCCGTCGCAACGGAACTAGGTCCCGCTGCTTCGGTGGAGCTCTCTCCCTTACCTTGCGCAGCCGGAGCACCCGCCTTCGTCACAAAAGTGACGCGCGAGACCCCCGCGTGCACCTGGAAGTTCTGTCGCTGGAGTACCTGATAGGACGTCTCATCGACACCAAATGCGAGGAGAATCCTACCAGGCTCCTCCCTGCGAAAGAACGTCCTCCATAGACTCGTCCTGAAACCAGGAGGCGCTTCAAAATGGTGTCCGTGTCATCCGGGAGCCCGTACAACACAGCCATCACCTTGGTTACCCTCGGGACGTGCCTCTGAACTTTCAGCGACGCGCCATCCCAGGGCCTGATAAGAGGGACGGTCCTCTCCAACCAGTCCAAGGTCCACTGGTCCTCGCATTCGGCCACGATGGCACCCTGCGGATTCCAGCGGAACCCTGCCAGCCGAGGAAAGGGCCCTCCCTCCATCTGGTCTACGACTGCATTCAATGCAGCCATAATGCACCTCGACTGAGCCTCAGAGATGTCCACCTCCGGGTATGAAACCGGAACGACGGCCACCTTAAGCCCTGCCGCAGCGACTTGCCCATAAGTTCGTGGTGCACCCTTGGGTGCATCAGAACCTCTAGGCTTCTTCTCAGGCTGCCTTGAGCCAGACCCTGGAGTGCTTCCCTCTGATCTGAGACGCTTAGTCCCTGACGTCGGGTTGCCCCCCTGAGCCAACGACCCAGACGCAGCCTTAGGCTTTGGCGCAGGGCCCGCTTGACCCGAGGTTTTACCCTCGAGCCGGCGCTTCCTGGCCATCGCCTTCTGTGCGCCAGTCCTATTCTTCTTGCGAATAGGAGCTGACCCACCACCAGGTCCTTGGGTAAGGCCCTGCGTTGGAGCCGTCCCCTCTTTCGAGGAGACTGCCCCGTTACCGGGCCCCTTTTGAGGGCCCGGCTTGTTGGTCCCCTCTGACGAGGAGCCCAGAAAGGTTTTGTGTGAAGATTCCATACAATTCCCACGAGTAGTGCGGTCTCACCTGGGCAGAGCCGCTTGCCCAGGGCTTGGCTGCCAGCCCCTTCCCGAAGGAAAGGAGCCACCACTCGGAGGTCGCCCGGTATCCGAGGGGCACCGTTATCGACACTGCACCCCAGTGCCACGCAGTCCTCGGCACGGTCGCTAACACCTTGACTTGGGAGGTTGGTCCGCGGCGACGACCTTCGTCGCTACCAGTCTGGGTTTTAGCCCCGACGAGCCACTTATAATCGTCACTACCCACACCGAAGCACGAGTCACGTACGATCATTCAGGTGTCTGTATGGGCTTTCCCCTATCCGCCACCCGGGGACGCGCCCGATGGGTGCCTAACCACACGGGTTCATGATACTCTAGTGAAAGGTCTCAACGAAAGGAATTAATTTCTACCAACCATAGCCCTCCTCATAGACCTCTTATCGCGATCGGGTATATTCCCTTATACCTTAAGAACGGATTGTCGGAAGAGGGTACTGACAAAGGGCGATTGAGACGTCTGCAAGAAATATATCGATTGGTGATGTCAAGACAAAAGCTATTTCGGTTAAAAAATGCGCTTTATCACATTTAAGTTGTTTCTCTAAGTTGATGGGTTTCTCGTCTCGCCATGGATTTAAGGTTTCGAGCATTTAGGCTCTTCAGGGTTCTCAACTGATTTTTATTACAATCTGCATGACCTTCGTCTTAAGGCGGTTTTTAGTTTTTGCTTGCATTTTTTTGTTTTTTATTTTATCCCTCTAACGCACCCCACTCCTCCGTTATTCATTTCAATTTTTAAATTTCCCGCCTTTTGTCAATAGTGCATTTGTGCACCCAGAGATGGCGTTTCATTCTCTTTTCCTGTCAATTGTTCAAAACTTTTCCTCAATTAGCAATCAGTGCATTTCAATCACTTGATCTGTGTACATCATGTCCTGATATTTTATACGTCAGGGGCTCAGGTAAATTGAATTGTAATTTCAAGAGTGTAATTATGACGTTATGTATTTAATTTTAGATCAAATTGATGTGTTAGTACCCAAAATTTTAATGTGTCTTGTTTAATAATGTTTGATGTATTTGTTCACCAAGAAATGGAGGCGTCCACCATTTTGTTAACGACGTGTTTAGTGCACACAGTTGTAAACCTGTCTTTTATTTAATTTTATTTTGCTAATCGTTAACCTTTTACCAGTGGTCCCACTGAGGGAGGGCAGCGAACTGCGTTCGAAATCGAAGTCTGACTTTTGCGCCTACTCATCTTACAAACCTTCACTTCAACACCACCCAAGGCCGAAAGGAAAAAAAACCTTTTAATCGATTCGTCTTAAGGATCTCCAGGGTTTCAAGTTTCATATTGTTAGTACCTAGCTGACACGGCGAACTTGGTATCGTCTACCAGTATATGTCGAATAAACGATCGTACAGACAAACAATCATATTTATTTATGTAGATTGCACCAATGAAATCAATATAATTTTACAAGTAAATTGTGCTACATTATGATCAATTTTCTCAAAATATTTGCAACAATTACAATACCATTTAATTAAACATGAAGCCGGTGAACAACTCGACCAAAAAAACCACAAGTGCCATCGCTAATCCCAGGCCAAGTAAGCAGAATGCGAAATACAAATGACCTAAGGTCAGTACCACCGTATCCGGAGTCTCTTCGACGATGTCGTTTTTAAAAAATTCGGTTTCGAGGTCTTGGAATCGCTTAGGTCCAATTCCAGATTCCACGAGCTTTTGAAGAAATGTGTCAATATGGACAGCGAAGTAGTAGTTGTATTTGTATACGAATTTGGTATAGTATTTGCCTGTTACAGAGTTATCTTCAAATTTTACAACCTCAAGCTTGGCTTCTAGGTGCAGTTGAATGTGAGTGAGATCCTGGTGTGTCACAATAGCTGCGCAATTGCGATAATTATGAACATTCATTACGCTGGCTACCGATTCACCGTGACCACGGCAGGGTATCAGCAAATTTTTCAGTTTTTCGTAGAGATCGTTGTTGGTGTCATTGCGACTGAAGTGGTACTTTTGAAAATTAGCAGGTATGTAGATTGGCAAGTTTGCGTCCGCGAGTTGTTGCAAGGTTTTTATTTGGAATTCGTACTGTGGTACCGTAAGAAGATCAATCCACCTGGAGGTGAAGGCGCAACTGATGTGGATCATGTATATTAAGTAAGCGAGAATAACTGAGCGATGAAGGAATGAACTTGGTATGACTGGGATCGAGCTCAGTATCGTCAGGGAACTCACGTAGGTCATTGCGTCTAAGCCATCCTCAAGGCGGAATCTTCTATTTTGGCAGCCCACGATCAGCCACCAAACAAACACGGTACTTGCGAAGGTGAAAATGATGAGGTACCACACTAAGCTCTTAAATGCTAGTAACACAACTCGTATGGCGGGAACTGGCGAAGATTTCGGTACTATCCATACTATGGAGGTTGTTATAATAGGTTGAGATGCTCCATTGGCAGGTACATCGTTATATGCGTACAAAGTGATAGATATATTCTTATTATTGTTTACAAACTGTCGCGTATCTCCGATACGTCTTGTAACATGTAACTCGTATTTTGCGTTAAAGTATTCTGCCATTAACGGCATTATAAATTTCATGATGTAACGTACGTCTGGGAAACTCTTCGCGGATTCCAAGTGATAACGTGATTCTTTGTAAACGGCCAGGAAAAGGGGACATTGGTTCAAATTCGAAGTTTTAGGAAACTGGATGTTTACACTACCTGCACACGATTCCTTCTCGATTATCCTAGCACGTGCACCGCAATTGTTTCCCTCCGTAAACTGGTTTGAGATGCTCAGAACCTCTTCCCCAGAACCCCAACTTAAAAGGACCACGTTATATAAAAAACTTTGCCAGCACTGATCGTGCATTCGTTCCACGTTTCCGGGACTAATGACTAGAACTCTTACGTCGGAGTATCCTTTACCTTCGGTCCATTTTAAATGTCCAATCAAATAAGCGGCGTAACTCAAGAAGCTTTCATTCTTAACGCAAAAGACAAAGTCGTTACTGGTCGCAAAAAAATTCACCTTTGTGTCCAGGTTCAAAGCAACCATAAAGACCGGCCTGTTCAATTGAAGGGGATCGGCATCGTCGCAGTACTCGCTGTGGTCCGATACGAACGTTATCGTATGAGCATCGGAAAAGAGTTTGTCGATAGTTTTACGTATGCAAGTAGCCGTCGATGTATTTCTACGATCCTCAACAATCGCCAAAGAGGCTGCCATGCTTATGACGCACGCCAAGATTAATAGGATCTTCATTGTTAACGCGAGCCAAGTCTAAGCACATACTAATGTATGTTGTGATTGTTGGAAATGGGGCCACCTAGTAAAAACATATAAATTGCTCCAAATTAAAGGAAACGAAACGTACCACTCGGTAAATCCCTCGGACACCATAATTTTGTGTATTGATCGTACGGCTCGCTGTGGTCTGTCATTATAGTAATTGATTGAGCGTGGGGAAAAAGCTTGTGTATAACGGGTCCGTGTCGACTTGAAAGGAATTAAGTTCCAAATATCTCATAATTTTGTGCTAATTTGTGCTGCTAATTTATAATTTTGTGCTCATCAGTTTAATGAGTAATTCAAATTTCACTGATTCCGTTTTCGTTTCGTTGGCACCCTTTCTGTTCTCGCCTCCTGTCGTCCATTATCTGTTCTCCATTTTGCCCTTAGTGTAGTATCTCTTCCATCATCATTTCGCCCTTTCTTTCTCCTCCTTCTTTCTCACCTTTTTGCAATTTCTATTTGTTTGACCATCTCGTCTACCTTTCTAGATCCCTTAGTTGTTTTTCGCGTTCCTTCCCCTTTTGGCTGTTGTCGTCTTATGATTTTTATTGACTTTCACGTTTACACACTTTCTCGCTTACGTCCCTCTCTCCTTCTCCTTCGGTTCCAGTAGTTGTGTTCTTCTTGTTGATATTTGATATCTCGATAGTTTTTCCGTCCATTCTTTAGACCATTTATGCGCTTATTTCTCTTATTCGGCCTTAAAAATTTCGTTCCACTATTTGTTTCAATGTTCACCGCCTCGTTCTTAGTTTGATCCCCCCTCTGAATCCTTCTCTTGTCTCTTCATCCGTTGCCCTCACGTTCCGCTTCTCGTTCTTCTCGTATTCGCTCCACTTTTTATTAACTTCTCTTGCTCTCAGTTTTCATCTCATCCTTCCCTTTCTTCTCTGCTTAATCGCTTCGCTCCCTCTCGCACCTTCTTTCGTTTCAACCTTTTTTGTATCGTTCTTTATTCCCTCCCAGCACTGATTTACGTTTTTGTTGAACCTCTCTCATCTTTTATGTTTGCACTTCTCCTCGCTCTCCTTCTACGTCTTGGTCTCCACCACTGCTTACCTCAGAGCTTTTGTTCTTTCATTTATCTTCATAGTCATTCCATTTGTGTGACTCGTTCTCGAGCCTGGGTTCTCCTGCCATTTCTCTTCTCATTATTTTCATTGTTCTGTCCGATTTTTCTTTATTTCCCCCCTCTTCTTTCTTCTAGTTCTTCTACCCGCACTTATTGTTTTACCTGCTTGTATCGCTTCTTTTTCTTGATTTTTTTGTTTTCTCTTCCGGCTACGTCTCCTCGTGCCATCAAAGCTTCTTTTTGTCGATCTTTCCTACGTTCCTTTTTTTGTTCTTTCCATCACACTTTGTCGTTCGTCGTTTCTTTTACACTTCTCGTGTCCCTGTAATTGATTGCTTTTCCTGTTTCTTGCGTCTGCAGCGTTTTTCTCCAGTTTTCTATTTTTCCGTTCTTGTCTCCGTCACCCTCTCATCCTTCCTGTTGCTTTTCATTGCATTCCTTCCCCATGTTTTTCTCGCGTCTCCGTCAGTTTCTCGGGTCACCGCCCCTCTCACTCTTGTCCTTGTTCATCCTATAATGCTTCATTTAGTTTTTTCTCTCGTTAATATTTTCAATCTTGTCGCGTTTCTCGCACTCGTTTCCTTCGTCTCAGTTTACGTCTTCTGTGTCTGTATCCACCTTCGCATTAGCCCACAGTTCTTCGTTTTATGTCTTGTTTTTCTAGATGTTTCTTAGTTCTCGTTTTGTTCGTTTACTCTTACGTTGTTGTTGTTCTTGTTTATGCTTCTCTTATACCACTTCTCGTTTCTTTTCTTATTCTTATTTAGGTTTCTCCCTTAGTTACTTCTGATTTTAGTATCTTTTCAGCTTTAGTTTTTTATTTCTTTTTTTCTTTTGCCTATTTTAAAGGTTCAGGTTAAAGTTTTTTTTTCCAAAATTTAGTTTTTGGCGATGCGTTAGTTCTGTTGCAGTTCCCAATGGGGAAGGTCATTTACAAAGCTTTGTATCTCCACCTTTTCCATGAAGTAGTCAGGTGCTATAGGTGGATGGTGCAGGAATTCATAATCCAGATGCTTGCCCCCTGTCACTAATCTAACTGTGCGATCAACAACGAAAAAATGTTCTGATGTTCGTCGGAGAGCTGCGAATTTCGATACCTTCTGCTCTGAGCCGAGCCCTCTTCTTGCACCGCGCCCTCTTGCGGGTTCTAATCCAATCGTTACATGAATGTTCTCGCCTGATACGAATTTCTTTCTATTACTGCCCCTCAATATACCTGTTCAGTGTTCACTTACAGAATGTACACTACAATGTCATACCTGCATGGTTACGTTTGTCGAAACTAGTCGAGTGTGTCGTAACGGGAGTCCGCAAACTGTTTCGTTGTTTTTTAGCGCATTTCCACAAAAATAAAATAAAAATGCGCTATTGTGGCCACTTTGTCCGTCCGTCCGTCCGTCCGTCCGTCCGTCCGCAAACTTTGCGACGCTACTAGTTTTTTATCTTAAGAGCTATTGTTCTACTTTTTTCGCTATTTGGTTCGTTATGGTGTCGAGTCTTGTACCAAGAAAGGAATTTTTTCTGTACCGCTTACAAAAAAAGTTATTGTAAAAAAAACAAAAAACCGTTTTTTACATGTTCCATAATTTTACACTTTTGCCGTTTATTAACGATCCTAGAGATCGTTTATAATTTTGCATTGCTATCTGTCGCCTGCCGGTTGGTCTCTCCGTCTGTTCCTTTGTCTGTCTGTCCATCTATCTGTCCGTGTGAACGATAACTTTGTTTAGAAATGTTCGATCGCTTTTACATCTCTGTTAGTTATGAACTGAATTGCATGAAATTCAATATGGGCATAGATTTAGCCATATAATACGCAATGCCAAAAGTTGGATCGAATCGATTCAAAATTCACAGTGCCCTTTTCGCATCTCGACCATTTATAAACCGAATTGCAAACTTTTTTACTTGTAAAAGTATTTGAATGAAATTTGATACATAGGCGCTTGGAACAAAGGAAAATCTTAGTTTATTAGTTAGTTATAGTAAATTAGTTTTAAAATTTAGGTTTGCGCATGCGCAGTTCCAACTTTCTTATTTAGAAAAGCATTGAAATGAAATTTTCTCATAAACTGAAATTGAAGTAGCACGTCAAAAATGGATTGCCCATGTGCAACGCTATTTTCATATTTGTGGCCGGATTTTTACGATTTT